CCCCCAAAAAAAAAAACTTTCTATAGTTAATAAAGTGAATTAAGTAATAAATCCAATTACAGGATTTTAGAAAAGCAGATAAACCTGTTGGGAAGTTCTTAAAACGTATTGAAAGAGAAAATATTTTGCAATCAAACAATTAATTATTCGACTAAAGTTTCTTAATAAATTGAGGGTTAATTTCACAAATAATTATATAACTATGACATTTTTTAACTAAAGTCATGTAACTTTGTTTTCTCATACAAAAGTCATATAACTATAACTTTTTTTCTATAAAATCATATAATTTTGTCTTCTCACACAAAAAGCCATATAACTTGTTACGACCCAAAAATTCCTCCGAAGGAGCCGTGATGGCACCTAGTCTCTAAACTAGGTAAGTTTAACATTAACTGAATAACATTGATACTTATTAATTCATAATGAAATTTCTCAAAATAATTTTCCATTCCCAAAACCGCTAGTACAAGTCACAAGCCTTTCTAAGAGTGGTTATACAATATAATTACATCACTGTTCCGAAACAAAGGGAACATATGGAAATAAGTACAATTGAAGGTGACTCTGAGGACTGCGAACGCTATAGCAGATTTACCTTGAGTCTCCACCGCTTCGAATAGCTACCATCGATCAAATGCATGGATCTGTACACAAAAATGTACAGAAGTGTAGTATCAGCACAACCGACCCCATGTGCTGGTAAGTGTCTAGCCTACCCCTGTGAAGTAGTGACAAGGCTAGGACCAGACACTCACATAAACTTGTGCAGTTTATAGCATACAAAATAATAGGAAGCAAATAATAATAATGGCAACAATGATCAACCAATGATATAAATAGCAGGCAACAAGAACACCATAATTGCTTCTCAACAAATAATAAATACAAGTGCAATCAATTAATCAAACCCTTCAAATATAAATCTTTCGCCTATAAATCATTCACGTAATAATCTCTAAGATAATATGCTTTTCAATAAATATATTTCGAATATATTTCCTTCAAATAAGTATCTTTCGAATATAATTCTTTCGAGTAAAGGTCACCTTGTGAGGCCTCGTGTCATAATCATAATAATACAGGTCTCGGCCCACTTTTATACTTTTACGGCATCTCATGTCCATATTTATATTACAACCGCACGGACAACTCACTTGCAATTAAATAAAACTATAATATTTTCCCCGGCACCTTGTGCCAACATATTTCTATTTCACATTGCACAATAATATTCTCATGTTACCAATTCACATGGTCCATAACCCAATACAATTACCCAATACAATTAAGAATGTTCAAAGTGACTCATTTACTTAACATAAAGTAGAGTGCAACTTCCAAACCAATTAGGAAATCAACAAGAAAAGATGATGTTATTTTTAGAAATTATTTGATTTAGAAAATACCCTTTTCAATTGAAGTACAATATCGAATAAATCATTACTTTTAATACGAGAAATCAATAAATCAAAACATATTAGAAATTTCCTTTTTAAGTAAAGTACAACCTCAAAAGGTTTAAGGAAAAATTTAGTTCAGAAATCCCTTTAGTTAAAAATATAACAATTGTTGAAATTTGAAGTATTGAAAGCTATATACACATGTGGCGAGGTATTGAATTTCCAACACAAAGGATCACAGTAATGAGGAAAATTCTGAACCGCTAAAATACTTGAATTGATAATAACAATTAAATACAACAAACAAGAAGTGCAAGACACCACTCTTCGTGCTTTAATTCATGTCCTCACCATAATAATCAAAATTCACTTTTAATCTTTTCTGTTGCGGCGTGCAACACGATTCCTATCATATATTACTGTTGCAACGTGCAACCCAATTCAAATATATATAATAATTGTTGCGGCGTGCAACCCGATCCATATCATTTATCATTTAACATGTGTTGCGGCGTGCAACCCGGTCCATATTATTTATCATTTAACATATGTTGCGGCGTGCAACCCGATCCATATAATTTACTATTTAACAAATGTTGCGGCGTGCAACTCGATCCGTATCATTTTATGTATCTCGTGGTAGACGTACCACCTCAATATATAAGTGGACGACGTGCCACACCATCCCATTTCATAATTTATAAGTGGACGACGTGCCACACGATCCCAATTCATAATATATATAGTGGTCGGCGTGCCACACTATCCCATTTCATAATATATATAAGTGGACGTCGTGCCACACAATCCCATATTATAGTTCATAATAATTGATTTTGTAAAGAAGTCCCCATTGGGGAAATTCAACAACATAACACTTTAACCGGGCAAGGGTACAATAATACTAAAACAATAATATCCCGGCAAGGGAATAATAATATTTCGATAATATCCCGGCAAGGGAGAATCAACTATAACCAAACTTATGAAATTTCTACTTAACACAATTGATACAATTACTCAGTCATAACAAATACTTTCTCAACTTCAAAGATCTTCAACCAAGTTTTCATAAGCATCAAATAAGAATACAACAATTTAGTAATTTAGGACTCACGGTCATGCTCGACCCCCAACATATAGATACTCGTCACCATGCCTATACGTCGGACACATCACATAACAAGTAGCAAATATACTCAACTCCTATTCCCTCAAGCTAGGGTAGACCAAACAATTACCTCACTTTGCAATCAGTCCAAAATTCCAACAAGCCTTTGCTTCGTGAATTCGTGCCCGAAATTCCCAAATCTCAATCCATATGGTGAAAATCGCCTCAATCCGAGCTCCATAGCTCCAAATGTGTTGAAAATGGCTGAAACTCAGGTTTTGTAATCTGTCAAGGCAAGTCACAGGTGTCAAATGCGACTTATAAATCACATTCGGCAGCAGCGACTTGCCTCTTCCGCAGAACCCAGCATTACCCCCTTCAGTAAATCCATCATAACTCTTTGTACAAATGTCCAAATGAAGAACGGTTTGAAGCGCTAGAAACTAGACTCACAGACCTTTAATTTGATAGGCTGTGCATCATATAACACCTTTATATATATATATATATATATATATATATATATATATATATAGTGCGTACTCATTTGAAACTTTAGATATACTCGTTCCAAGTGAGGTCTAGTGCGTACTCATTTGAAACTTTAGTCAATTATGAAATTTTCCAACGTGGCTTAGACATAGGACTTTCCTTAGACCCCATATATCTTATAGTACACCTCGTACACTTTCTATCATATCCAATTGGTATCCATCATAGTAATAGACCTCTTTCACATAATAAATAATATAATTAGAACACGTCAATTTTCTTACTTCGTCGAAAATCGCCGAATTGTCCTATGGGCTTCCAAATCCAATTCCGGACACATATCTAAGTCCGAAATCACCATGAGAAGCTATTGACATCATTAAAATTCCAATTTGAGGTCGTTTTCTCAAAAGTCAACTCTCCTGTCAAGTCTTTCCATTTGAGCTTTCAAAGTAAGATTTTGATTTTTTTCCCTTTAAATTTAACTCTAAATCTTACGAAAACCAAACTTGACCATACATGCGAGTCATAATATGTATCACAAAGCTTCTCGAGGTCTTAAGCCATTGAACGAGATGCAAATTCTAAAAATAAAATTCGGATCGTTACATAACTATGGCTTTTTTCGACTAAAGTCATATAACTTTGTCTTTTCACACAAAAATTATATAACTATGATTTCTTTTTTACCAAAATTATATAATTATATTTTCTCACACAAAAATCATAAAAATTTTACTAACTCGCAAAAATCACAATGATCGAAAAATATAAATTTTTAATTGTATTTTATTATTTTGTAGATTTTTATTTTCTTATTTTCAACTTAATAAATAATAATCAAATTAAAATAGGAATGACTCAACCTGACCTGGCCCACCCAAGCCAAAACTCATATATATAAATT